AAGAGTTGCATAGCCATTATCAAGGAGGCATAAGCAAAATTCTATAAGTAGAGTCAAGGAGATCCAGCATTCATCATCCTAGGCAGGAAACAATGTAACACAGGTTACATCTACGCCAGCCTAATAGATGAAGAAGAGGTTCGAGGCTGGTTAGCAGAATTTTTCTGCTTACCCCTAAAGTCTTTGCCTAGGAGGCCTTCTACAAGACAGTAGCTGGATGCAGTTAACATCTGCCCAAGATGAGTATTTTTATCGAGACACTATCTCTAGCCTTTACTCAACCAAGAGCCCCAAGGCAGGGGAATTTTTAGTCGGAGTTTATTTCTCCTAGCCTTTGCATAAGAAGAGCCCACTCTGCAAGGCAGCAGGGCTTGTGGCAGGTGGTACTGGGTTACGTGATACCAATAGCAAGATTGATCTCAATTATCCTGACCTGAATATATATATATATATATATATATACAGCCCCTGTATATATATATATATATATATATATATATATATATATATATTTATATATATATATATATATATATATATATATATATATATATATATATATATATATATAAAGGGGTGTGGTGGCTTTAAAAGGCCCATGTGGGATTTTATTTAAAAAAAGCCTATATCTGCAGGATTTTACCATATAGGATGGATATAAAGGTACATACGTGTCTGTTAAAAAAGGATATCTATTTGTCATTTTGTCCGACCCTTATTTTGTGTGCATTTATTTTATAATTATTTTAGTTGTTCCAAAATTATTAATAAATTTAGTATTAACTTCAGTACAAATTTCATTTTCTGAATTTTTTATTTTTTTTACAAAACAGAAAATGAAGCTACGTTAATAAAATTCTATATTTAAAAAGACGCCTAAGATTACATTTTTTTTTTAAATAAGTAGCCCGGTTTTTATCATTTATATTAAAATTATTTATCAATATAAATTTTTATTTCAGTATTTGTTTTATTCTTTATGTCGGATTTTCATAAATTTCAAACAAATATTTTAAATTTTAAAACCCCCTTTAAATATATTCTATAAAAACTTTTTTGCAATAGTTTTATTAATGCTTATAGAAACCAGTATTTTTTATTACACTATTTAATTTAAGTTATGTTACGTTATGTTGAGTTAGGTTGAGTTATGTTATTTAATTTGAGTTATGTTTGCTTTAGTACTAAAGTTTTTAATATTAATCGTAGAAAAAGTTTAAAAAGTCTAAAATACATTAAATATTTTTTAGAATATTATACGTAATTACTTTTATATAAATATGTCAAACTTGTATAAAAGTAATTAATTATAATATTTTTTGATAATTAAAATATAATGGGTTTATTGCAAACAATCAATAAAATTATTTTGCTACTTTATTTAATAAAGTAATAAATAAACATAATTATTTAATATATTTAATATATTTATAATAATTTACAAACCATTTTGCATAGTATAGTATTTTTTAAAAATATAATACAAATATATTTTTCTTTCCCAATTTCAGTTTTTAAGCATATATTTTTTGAGTAGATGTTTATAATACAAAGCAACAAGTTGAAGTTGCCATTTTTGGTTTCAAAGTAACACTATGAAACTAAAAATGGCAACGCTGCAGCAACGATTTTTATTTTGTTTAAAGAATAGCCATTAACACAAAATTAAATAACAAAAATTTTAGTTTTTTTATGTAATGTTATTTATTTTATCACAATATAAATTTTATTAAACTTTATATAAATAAAAATTCAAAAAAAAAATTTTTTCTTTGAAAATGAGTTAAAAAATTGTTTTTTAAATAGTTTACACTTTTATTTAATTCTGCATTTTAAAAAGCATTTTTTTCAAAGAACTAACACACCACAGCGCTCTAAATATGATCCTGCAATTGACATACCTTGAATATAAAAAGTTTTTATATCGTAGTTTTATTTAGCCCTTACTTAAATGGAAATTTCATATTTTTCTAAAAATGCTATTTAGTTGCTTTTTTATTTTAAAAATAAATGGATTTTTTTCAGAATGTCAATAAAAAGTGAAAATTGCTAAAAGGTCCATACTTGGATTAAAAAGTGTTAAAAGGCCCATATCTAAATAAAAAAGTGAAAAGCCCCGCTTTTAATAAAAATGAAATATAAATTTATTCAGACAAATTTTAATAGAAATTTGTCTGAATAAATTTATATTTATTATACTTTGAATTTATATTTATTATAACATAAGTAAAAGTTCATAAAGATCAATTATAAAGCACTGTTCTATAAATAAATGTTATTTTGGAGGTTTAACGCTCTATAGGATAAACAAAATAAGTTTTTGCGCTTTTAAAAAAACGCAGAATAAAAAATTATTTGTAAAAATTATTATTAGTATAAAAAGATAATGACTTTTTAAGTCTGTTTTTTATTAAAAAGATTATGTAATTATTAGCTTATGATACAGAACGGTCAATGACAGCAAAATCATAGTAAAACATGGTTCTACGGGGTATTTTTTTCGAAATCGAATGAAATGGAAATCTCATGATAGACACGATAATGGGTTACTTTGGGGGTTTATACTGGCTGCTTGGGACACTTTTAGAATGGGAACGCAAAAACGCAAGTTAGTAAATTTAACGGTAATAGAACGTAATAGTAAAGTAATAGAACGGGAACGCAAAAACGCAAGTTAGTAAATTTAAAACTTAGTTACTCAATGTGTATAACGAAAGCATTGGAATTTGAAGCCACAGACGCCGGCCTTTCTGGTGACAAATATTATAATTGTTTGTGAAATTTCAATAAAATTAATTGTAAGCAACAAATTTAAATTTCAATATGGCTTTGAATCAAAGAAATACCTACTTGTTGTTTATTCTTTCATTGCATAAATTGATTCTTAGCTTAGAAAAAATAATAATCTGTTTACACTAAGACAAGTATAACAAATTAGGCATTTGTTGAATGACTCGACTGAAACTCAAAATACAGGTAGTGTCATGCAAGATCTTTAACATCATCTATTTTTCATGGTATAGGAAGCTGCAATGCTTCTCTATACCATGAAAAATAGATGATGAATAATAATCTCTCATTACTTCATAGCCAACCCAACATAATAAATAATTTTTACAAATTAGTTAATTTACTAATATGTAAAAAGGATAATAAAAGCAATATATTAGAATTTTTTTTTTATATTAGATTTTTATGTTTGATTAAAAAACTTTATATGTTTGATTTATATGCTTGATTAAATTATTTATATGTTTGATTAAAAAAGATTTTGATTAAAAAAAAATTATGTTTGATTAAAAAACTTTATAGGTTTGATTTACATGTTTGATTAAGTAATTTACTAAAACGTAAAAAACCAAAATAAGATTTTATTTATAAAGTTACCTCAAATTAACAACAATTAACATTACATTAAATTTAAAAAAAGCTATCAAACTTTGAATAAAAAATCCATTTTAAAATATACTGGGACTGAAAATCTGTATGCAAAATATCCTGGGATAATGCATGTGTTTAAATATATGGGGAGGGGGGAGGGGAATACATGTATGTCTAAATATACTGAGAAAAGACTTAGTAAACTGAAAAATACATAATATATGAGTTTGTCTAAATATACTAGCAGACCTCGGCAAGAATAAATAAGTGCACAAGCAGTGAATCGTCGATCTAAAACAGATTTGGTGGGCGATGCAAGCGATAAGCATTTTTGTGGGCTTTTTTGATATTTAGGTAAAAAAGCACATTGATAAATTTAAAATTGATTACAATTTAGACTAGTTTTTTAAGATTTAAACTCTAATGTTTTGTATCATATCATAAATACATCAAAAAAACAATCGTCAGCAAAGATTGTTTTTCTGATATTTATTCAAGTATCTTAAAGTTTTATAGAGAAATTGTTAAAAAAAATCTTTGCATTTGACCAAATTTGTTAAACTCTATTTTAATAGAGTTTAAAAATTTATTAGAAAATATTAGATCGCTTTTTTTATTGAAAGATTTATTATTTTATAAATATTATTTTGTGTTGCATTTCTTCTTATTTTCATACTTTCTTTTTCTTTTTTTTTGTGAAACATTTTTTTTTAATTTGAAAAGTTTTAAAATCGCACTGAAATTACTCCAGGCCAGAAAGCAAGTAACTAAAAGAAAAGACTTTAGTATTTAAAACTTGAATGAGTTCCATACTTTTAAAATTGTTTGTTATGTTATATAACTCAAATTTAAACGAACATTTTCTATTACTATTTATTAAAAAAGATTTAAGTTTTAATTAAGCGCCATCTATTATTTTCATTTTGATAAAATTGTATTTTAGATACTAAGTTAAAAATGCAGCTATAAAAATATTGCATTAAAAAGTATATTTTATTTTTAAGTTTTAAATAAAAATATTAAATTTTGTTAAAACTAGTTTTTTAAAAACTACTAAAGCTCTTTTCAGTTCTTTACTGTTGTTGTTTTTTTTATTGTTTTTTAAAGATGTTTTTTAATGTAATTCTAAACCAGTATTTAAACTCATCAAGTTTATTAAAAAATAATTATTTCAAAACCTTTTTAAAAAATCTATAATTACCAACTTTTTTACCCTTTAAGTCGCACAACTGTTATAATAAACATTTTTTTTCTTTTTTTTTATCAATTCCTAATTATGTATTACTTATTAAAGTGATATTTTATTTTAGATGCGCGAGATGTTTTTTACTATTTTTGCTTATGTAAGTAAAATACAACTCAACCTAAAAAACATTAAATTTTGCTGTTTTTAAAAAAAAGTTGTATATTTGCACAAGCTATATTTTACCAGAGTAAACTGACTTGCGCAGGTGTGGAGGTGGGCACAGACCTTGCTCGGGGATTGCCCGCTATTCCTGCTGAGGCCTGTAGCGAGTATACAAGTATGTTTAAATAAAATTAGGGAATAGTAAAAAATAAGAATTTATTTTTTTTTAGAAAAAAAAAAAATTAAAATGTTCTTTTAAAGATTAACAAACCTTTCTCTTAACTTTTCAACACATTCTTGAAAAATCTTTCGACATTCATAAATACTCCATATTCTTTTATCCAACAACACATTATATGATTGAGTTTTTTCTTCCTCCATCTCAATACTGCTCCATGATAAAGGTGTGGGAGGTTGCCTTTTTTGCCACAGTTTTTCCATAGAAAGTAAATATTTGATATCATTGAAGAAAAATTTTGTAAATAATTTTTCAGGATTAAAATCAATTCCTTTTGCCCATTCGCGTGTTGAAACTCGTGCTGCAGTCACATCATCACAAGCCAGCGCTTGTTCCCCTGCTTCACCAGAAAGCTCTGGATCAGCAGTATCTGGTGAAACTTCAGCCTCTTCATCATATTCTCCAAAAAGCTGGTTAAATAAATGTTTTGCCCAAACTATACAATGAACAGGTTCAGATGGAGTATTCCTTATAGTGCATCCAGGGTAAGTTTTGTTTGATGGTTTAGGTTGGCATTCATAACATTCAGTAAAACCTTTCTTGATCAAAGTTACTTGCCCTAAATAACCTGCTGACCCACTTTCAATTAAAGGAACATCAGCAGCAAGACACATTCTGTTTACATGGTTTCTAGCAACTTTATTATCTAGAGCATTTAAAACAAAATCAAACTTTTGAAAAAAGTCAACATTGTATTCAGAATTTATTATTGTGTCATGTAATGCTATTATGTTTAAATTTGGTTTTAATGACAAGACACTTTCTTTAGCTATACAAGCTTTTGATTTGCCCACATGCTTACGCTGAAATAGAAACTGCCTATTTAAGTTACTGACATCTATTGTATCCAAATCTATAATATGAATATTTGTGAAACCACTTAGCACCAAATTTTTCAATAGTTCACAACCTATAAAATAATTTTTATTTTTTAGAACTTTGAATTTTAAAATAATAATACAAGTTCAATAATATCTGATATTCAATAAGCTATATTTATTATTCAATAAGCAATCTGAAAAATTTAATTAACAATATCTGACAATAATAAACTGTATCTAATATTCAACAAAATATATCTTACATTCAATAAACAAAAATAAAATAAAAAATATAATTTATAAACTGTTTATGATATTTAATCAAATATATTCTAACAGTTTATAAATAGGTAAAAACTTCTCAAAACATAAGTTATAATATTTCTAACATTTCTAATATCTATAAGATCTCACTTTGCTTACATGAAGTACTAGAAATAGTTTCATATAAAACTGAAAACTAAATAAAATTAGAACTAATATCAAAATGTTGACAACCTCAAATTTTTTTATTGACAAAATTACCAACTTTCGCAAACAATCTTAATTTATGAGTTTTATGTCTACCATAGTAAACAACTGAGTTGAAATTTGACAGGGACCAGGTTTAATAAAAAAAAAACAGCCAGGGCTGGGTTTGATCCCATGACAAACAAAGCAAATCCTAAATTAAAAGAGTAATACTAAAAAAAAATGTACCAATACATCAAATGTCAACAGATCTAAAAACCGACACTTGCAGAAAATTAAATCCACACGTAACAATGGTGCATAATATTGGTATGAAAAAAACATCAAAACCTGAAAATGTAAAATATGATCTTGTTGTTTCTGAAATTAAATCAAACACCAAAAAATCTGTGATAAAGAAGTCCAACAAAAAATCACAATGCTGCAGAATTTCGTTGTAGTCAGATGAGTCATTAATGTAATGTAGAGCTTAATGTTTGACAATTCTCAGAAAAAAGTTTTTAATCATAAATTAACATACTTTTCTATATTTTTAAGTAGACACTACGGTTAAAGATTACTACATCTGTCCAACAACATTTGTAGAGTAGTCCAAGATCATCTGTACAATCCTTAACAACATCTTTAGGAAGATATAACTACATCTGGTAATTTTTCTTCAAGTCTAATAACATCTTCAGATGTAATTACATCTGAAAAAAATGTTATATGTAACTACATCTAGTTGAAATAATGTATTTATACTTAATATTTTTTCCAGATCTGAAAAAAAACCATATATGAAACTACATCTGGTTATAATAATGCATTAATATTTAATATTTTTTTCTAGATGTAAGGAAATAGTTCTGTATGAAGGAAAATAGTCCATAAAGTATCATATAAATATCATAAAATGTTGATTTGGTAAGTTAAAAGCTTAGGTACTTTTAGGGAGGTAGAGGGTACTCAAAAAAGCGTACGTACTTTGGGGGAAGGTGGTTGAAAAAAAGCATACGTACTTTATGGACGATCCCTAACTACATCTGAAAAAAACCATATATGTAACTAAATCTGATTAAAATAATGCATTATAACTTAATAACTTCATAAAATGCTGTAGTTATTTTTAATATAATTGAAAAGATGTAACTAAATCTGTAGTATTGACATATGTAGTTGCACAAATGTTGTTATTCATAGATAATTGAAATAATGTAACAACATCTGTAGTAACCATATACTTTTTATACAGATGTTAT